TTCTCTTTCATAAGGTTCAGTGTGGCTGACTTTATGTTGAGGTCTTTGTTCCATTTGGACTTGAGTTTTGTGCATGGTGATAGATATGGGTCTGTTTTCATTCTTCTACATATTGATATTGTTATGCCTGCACCATTTGTTAAATATGTTTTCTTTTTTCCATTTGATATTTTTTCATTCTTTGTCAAAAATCAGGTGTTCAAAGGAGTGTGGATTAATATCCAGGTGTTCTATTCAATTTCATTGGTCCTCCTGTCTGTTCTAATGACAATACCAGGCTGTTTTCAGTACTGTAGCTCTGTAGTAGAGTTTGAAGACAAGGATTGTGATGCCTCAAGAAGTTCTTTTATTGTACAGGATTATTTTGGCTATCCTGGGTTTTTTTCCATATGAAGTTGAGTACTGTTCTTTCAATGTCTGTGAAGAATTTTGCTGGGATTTTGATGGCCATTGCATTGAATCTGTAGATTGCTTTTGGTAAGATTGCCATTTTTACTATGTTAATTCTACCTAAACAAGAGCATGGGAGATCTTTTCATTTTCTGGTGTCTTTTTCAATTTCTTTCTTCAAATATTTAAAGTTTTTGTCATACAAGTCTTCCACTTGTTTAGTTAGAGTTACTCCAAAATAATTTATGCCATTTGTGGCTATTGTGAAGGGTGATGTTTCTCTGATTTCTTTCCCAGCCCTTTTATCATTTGTGTACAGCAGGGATACTGATTTTTTTAGTTAATCTTGTATCCTACTACATTACTGAAAGTGTTTATGAGTTGTAGAAATTTGTTGGTAGAATTTTTTGGATCACTAATGTAAACGTTCATATCATCAGCAAACAATAAGTGTTTGACTTCTTCTTTTCCAATTTGTATCCCCTTGATCTCCTTTTGGTGCCTCATTGCTCTAGCTAGGAACTCAAGAACTATATTGGATAGATATAGAGAGAGTGAACAACTTTGCCATTCATGATTTCACTGGAATCGCTGGGAGTTTCTCTCCATTGAGTTTGATTTTGGCTGTTGGCTTGCTGTATGTTGTCTTTATTATGTTTAGGTATGTTCATTGTATCCCTGCTCTCTTCAAGACCTTTATCATGAAGGGATGTTGTATTTTGTCAAATTCTTTTTTTTCATCTAATGAGATTATCTTATTTTTTTTATTTTTCAGTTTGTTTTTATGGTTGATTACTTTGACATATTTTTTTATTTTGAACCATCCCTGCATCTCTGGGATGAAGCCAACTTGATCATGCTGCATGATGGTTCTGATGTGTTCTTGGATTCGATTTGCCAGTGTTTTATTTAGTATTTTTGCATCAATGTTTATGAGTAAGGTTGGTCTGTCATTCTCTTTCCTAGTAATGTCTTTCTGTGGTTTGGGTATCAGGGTAATTTTAGCCTCATAAAGAGTTTGGCAATGTTCCTTCTGTTTCTACTGTGTGGACCTGCAGAGGTTCCAGGTTCCTACCTATTCTCTTTAATGTCCCAGACCAGTGCCTGGACCTACAGAGATCCTGGCTCAGGCCTACTCCCAGACTCATGCCTGGCTTTGCAGAGATCTCTGGTTCCTACATACTCCCTCAGCATTCCCAGATTCACATTCAGACTGGCAGAGATCCTGGATCAGGCCTAGTTCTTGGGAGGTCTGAGACTTAAACCCAGACTCACAGGGTCCTGGCTTAAATCTACTCCCTTGAAGGTCCCAGGTTCAGGTCCAGACCATCAGCAGTCTCTGGTTCTGGCTCACTTGATCAGCAGTTACTCTCCTGTACCTGTTCCGGTGACATTCACTATCTCTGGACCAGGTCCTTGGCTCAATCCTTGTCCACTAGTGTCCCAGGACTTGCATCTATTTCTTTTATAGATTAGTTTGGATTAAATGAACATGCTGTTTGATATACTATCATCTATTCCAACTAAGAGGTGTGCTTGTTCAAATAGAATCTTTATCAATTTTGATAGTATCCATAGCTTTTCTTCTCCTGTGGAAACAAGAGCAAAACTCCTTTTCTAACTTAATGCATGGCCTAGTTTCCATTTTGAGATAAGTACATCTTTAAAGTATATTGACTGATTTAATTCTGTAGTTTATTCTAGTATCCAATGTCTCTCCACAGCTGTTGTTCCTCTCTAATTAGCATTTAGAAAATTCAAAATTAGCAAAGCATTATGCAATTGATTTCTGGGGGTATTCATCATCCCTTTTAGTTTATTTAATGTATCCTTTAGAGTTTGATTTGAACTTTCTATGACTGCCTCATCTATAGAATTGCATAGTATACGTGTAATATGTTTTACTTTATAATAAAAAATTGTTTCATTTCTTAGAGACATATCCTGGAGCATTGTCAGTCGTTATTTGTGTGGATATACCCATAATGGTCATAACTTCTAGCAATGCTGTGATTACCAAATCAGCCTTTCCCAAACTAAGGTCAGTTACCATTGAAAACCTCAATAGATATCAATGGTGTAGTGTACATAATTTAGTTTTCCAAATTCTACAAATTAGAATACATCCATCTGCCAGATTTCATTCTTTTGAGTCTTTTTTGGGTTACTTCCTGTAGGTAGTGGTGTTTGGTTGTAAATAGAACAAATAGGACATTTCCTTATAATTTCCTTGGATTGTTGCCATGTGATAAAAATGTATTTTTTTAAACATTTGCTATTGACATGATGACTTTTACAAGATTCTGAGGTTTTCAGCACATTTCCCATCAATAATTGACCTATTTCGGTATTACCTTGTGCTAGAGGACCTGGCAGACCTGTATGGGATCAGATATGAGTTATGTATATGGGATGATTCCTAGTAGCGATGCAATCTTATAATTGAATAAATTATTAAGTCAATTCTGTGTCATCTGGTATAAATTAAGTTGTTTGAACATGCAAAACATTTCTTTCTGAATATTGTGAATCAGCAAATATATTGAGAGACTCTTTAAAATTCCATAGTACCTTGAGAATGGCATATAATTCTGAGTTTTGCAAAGAATTTTAAGGGCTTTGATCCAATTTACTTAAGTTTTATGATTTTTGCTTTCTTTCCTGATTTATTTGGATCAGTATGGAATGCAGGAGTTCCAGTTATTGATGGTATCCTGTTTAATGTGAGGAAGGATCCAGTTAGTTCTCTTTATAAGATGAATTCTCTTGCTTTTGGAATAGTTGTTAATCTCTCCCCCCAAAACACTACATGCTCTTTGCCAGGCTTCACTTCCTTTCCATTATTTGTTAACTTCATCATTATTAAAAAGTATTATATGGGCACAGGAGACCACTTCCTACGTATAACCCCAGCAGCACAGACAGTAAGGGCCTCATTGAATAAATGGGACCTCCTGAGACTGAGAAGCTTCTGTAAAGCAAAGGACACTGTTGCTAAGACAGAAAGGCAACCCACTGACTGGGAGAAGATCTTCACCAACCCCACAACTGACAAAGGTCTGATCTCCAAAATATATAAAGAA